AAAGCCTACAGATGAACCAAGTCTTGCCAAATACAGTAGTAGGGACTGATGACTGCCTGAACAGTTCCACAGATAGGCTCCTTACTAAAGTGTTCCTGCAGTAGTACCAGAAGCTTGAGACATGTCAGAGAAGTGACAGAGGAATGTAGAGAAGCCATTTACTGCTTTTCTTTGCTCCCTTACTATTTCAGGAACTCCAAGCAGCACACTGGGAACAAAATCTTGAAGGATCTTGAACAATAAAACATTATTTTCCCAGAAGCTACAGATGGTTACAACTTTACTCAAGGAGTTTGGAGGACAGATGCTTAACCTTCATCCTAGTAATGGAGCAGCTCTGAAGTAAATTACAAAGACACTATTCACCTGCTCTGCTGAAACATCTGAAATAGCCGGCAGCTGACAGAAGGGAGATGGTAAGATAAAGGAAGGAATTTTAAAAGAGAATTTATAAACTGAAAGAAGTGCAGTGTATTGGAGTGTCATTTACATAATCCAATTTACGATTGCTCTACATATTAATATTTTCTAGCACACCTTACAAAAAACTACTGGAATTTAACTTCCTGGAGTGACAGGTTGAGGTACATTTAATTGTCATCTGCCTACAATTTCTGCCACAAAAATAGGGCCAAGTACAGACATTCATTTCTACCAGTAAGAATTTCTGAAAATTAGGCTGGGAGCGGGAGCATGCATGACTTCTAGTATCCTAAATGGAGAGCTATACAAGCAAACTCTCCAACCAGGGGTCACTAGAGGGCCATTCTCTGGGCCACCCACCCATGGGGATCCCATAACTTGAAAGCTTGTCATCTCTGTTGCCTGAGAAGGAAGCAGGCTATCAATAGGCAACCTCCCTGACTTTAAATTGCCTTGTGAAATCCAGGTGGGTGACACCTGGGGTGATTTAAAGCTGGAGGTGTGCGGAAGCAAAGGAAGGGATAAATTCCCCTTTCCCAACTCCCCAGGTTTAAATCACACCGAGTACATCTACCTGTGCACTTTAATGCACGTCAGCCTATTTTAATGTGCATTAAAGCATCACTTAAAAACTATATATACACATACACACAGGTGTATATATGCATATGTATATAGGTGTATATACAGGTGTGTGTATATTATGTGTGTCTGTATCGTGCTTTTTACTTAATGCACATTAAAATAGGCTAATGCTCATTAAGCATCACTTAAAAAGCACGCTCTTTAATTAATATACATTAAGTCAGGCTAAAGCACATTTTCCTAGTACTGTACCTCACTATGGAGGGCACCTATACACAAGCACAGAGGCTGCTCCGATGTGCTGGAACTACAGTGTGTCGAAGCAGACTCAAGAGTCTGGTGAAGTATGGCAGTTTCCTGTGTCTCGTGCATCAGTGTCCCTGTGCTTAAAAATGGAAGCAGGGGTGCTTGAACTAAAGCTAATCAAATGACCTTCAGTTCCATCGCCCGCTGCCATTTTTAATTGCCCCCACCCCCCAGAGCACATGTAAAAGTGCCTGGAGGTACTAGACTTAACGTGCATTAACTAAAGCAAGTTAATATATGTGTAGATGCATCCACTGGTGTGCCACCCAGAGGCGCACACAGAATTAAATGCCTGCAGGCCATGCACTGAGAGAGGATAACTTCTTTGGCCCTGGTTCCTACCCCCAGGGCTTTCAATCCCTGCCTGGGTAGCATTTAAAGCCCGGGGCCAGGAACTAGGCTGGGGAACAGCATCCTTAAACCAAATCCCTAGAAATCCTCTGTGGTTCCAAGGCTGCCCAAGCCCAGACATCCTTGCAGTCACAGAGCAAAGCTGTTTCCCACCACCTTCATGCATCCCAGTGCAACCAGAGGCATGAGTGGGGTGGGGGACAATGCTTCTATGATTGCAAAGCAGGGAGGGACAAGGAATTCTCTCAGGGCTGGAACCATCTAGCAGCTCTAGGTCTTTGGCCCTGCCTGCACTATTCTGGGTGGAGTTTGAGGAGGGCAATACACGAGGGCTCTTCCAATGGCAAGAACCTGGCAGGGTTCCAGGATGGTTCCCACTTAGGGAAAGTGCCTTCTTCCCCCAAACTCCATCCGGACTTGTAGGACAAGGGCCAGGGTCCCCACAGGTTTCCCTGACTGATGGCTCCAGGGCAACCTGTCAAGGAACCAGTGCCTGTCTTCCCTCCCTTCCTCCCCCATGAAGGGTGGGAAGGAGAGCAGAGGATTGTGAAATACTGGGTGTTTCTCTCTAAGGGAAGTGTACAGGCACTCAACTTAGATCAGAAGAGAAAGCTTCCTCATATGTAACAGATCCAGGGGGCTTATTACATGTTTGTAAGTCACGAATCATTGGAATAGTGATCTATTAAAATGAGTATGTATTAGGAGAAAACTCTCACCTGAAAGGAATCAACATTGCAATGCCATGAGGTCACTTAACACATGCTAAACTTCTTGAACATGCCTCTGTTTGCATTTTAACTGCACTTAGGGCTCCAATTCATGAGCAGCAAGCCTGCTCCAACTCACTGTAATTACGGTGCATACTGAAGTACAACCTATCGGTGCCGTAATTACAGACTGTTGGAGCAGATTCAATTAATCAAGTCTGCTGGACTGCGGTAATTGCTCTACTCCAGCAGCCTCTACTGTCTTGTGCATCAGTGTCCCTACACTTCAAAATGGCAGTGGAAGGCCTTTATCTAAAGCTTGTTTGAAGAGCTGTGGATAAACTGCCCCTGCCGCCACTTTGAAGTACAGGGATACTGAGACATGAGACACTATGGGTACTTTAATTAGCGCAGCTCTCAGAGCTGCTATAATTAAGGCATCCCTTCTCCCAACTCCCAGAGCACACATGTAAATGCACATAGTGTTAAATTGAACACGTGATACCATCCTAACTTCTTGCAGAAAAGCCAGTTCTCTTCCACAAGAAAGCTCTTGAACTTTGAAAGGCTTTTCTCCAGCACAAATGAAAATGTTTGTGTATAGCCTGTATCTGAACGTGAAAGGAGCTTTTTGCAATTGTGCTGAAACATAAATCAGGTAACCAAAGTTTCAAGATCTAAATTACAGGCCATTACATTATCCTCCTTCCTCCCAACACACATTCTAATAGATTTTCTCTGTTCTTATAGGTGGTTTTCTAGCAGCCCCCTAAGTGGCACTGTGGCTTCTTTAAGAAGCAGATGTTTGTCTTTCTTAAACTGGGCAATGTTGACAGTTATGGGCTTTATTCTCATACATTTCTTGGACTATGATGGCTACAACACCACTCCAACCCTACTATTTTAAGGGGACTAGATATTCAAAATCAACAGATTTGCACAACGAGTGCCCTTCTTCTTAGCCTGGTCTCCAAAGAGTACTGCCATGAAAAAGACTCAGACACAGCTTGGTTTGTAGGTTCCCTCCACATGCCATGAGTGAGAAAAAGGAGTGGTACAGTTAATGTCTGAGGGAGAGGGAAAGGACTGCTACATGTCATGTGATAGGAACTCCTCAGGAACACTGGGGTTTAGCTTGGAAAGGGAGTTTGGGCCCTAAATTATTTTAAAATGAAAAAAATTGGCTTCATTCATCAGTATGGAAAAGCAAGGTATATTGGAAAGTTTATTGAAATGAAACAAGCCATGGTGTGCAGGGTACTGTATATTAAATGGCTTTAAGCCTGGGCCCAGTTGTCAAGAGCATTATTTTGAACCTTCAAACATTCACTCACACATGCTTTCTTTTTCTAGTTATAGTAACGGATTACCAGACCAGGATTTGGGCATCAATATATAAAGCAAAGTGGAAAAGGTGAGGTTTAAAGTGAGGACCTGATGATGTACAGCATGTGAGAGATACTCAGTTAGAATAGCATTCTGAACACTCGCAATGGGCTACTTATGCTGTAAAGTTTCTGACAAGGGTATTATAGAGCTTGGACTTTTCACTTATAGTCCTTATTTCAAGGGTCTAAAAATATAGAAAAAAGTTCTCAAAATGCTGGTATTTGTGTTTAGTATAATGCAACGATTTTTTTAAAAAGTTGGATAAAAGGAAAAGAAACAAAACAATAAGATTTCTGGTAGTCCAATATGTTACAAAAATACAGTATGTACACAAACATTGTTAGGGCTTTGCATATGTTATACAAATTAGACAACACAAAAAATACATCTTTATTGTTATTAAAGACCATATTTAACTTGCGTACAGGTCATTAGGATGGAGAACTTTTTGATGGACAAATTTGACTGCACAGGACTACAAGCACCTTTCTTCATGTGCACACTTAAAAACATACAATTATGTTAACTGCATACAAATATAAGGATGTGTCCATAGAAACACAATGGTCACTGATGTACAGGATAATCATCATTTTATTACAAAGAAGCAGATGCATGCCAACAGTTACTATATATTTATGATTAAATAGTAATCCAGGCAACAAGGTTTTTTAAATGAAAAATATGATTTCCACTTTAATCCAAAAATTTACAATTTATAAAAATGTGTACACATGCTTATGACATATTATTGCTTTTCTTGTATGTTAGCTTTATCTATATTTTAAGATTCTCACACAAGGCTTTGCAAGTGAAAAGAATTCATACAAGAATGCAGAGTGAAGCCAGAATAGGACTGTTCAATGTGTTTGACTGACTAAGCCTGCTCCATTAAAATTACTTTTTTTGGTACAACATGAGATAAAAATTTCTCTCTGCTTACATTTCTTTCAATCACTTTCAGATGCATACTGTGTTCTAGAATACCATTTTCTGAATATAAGACTATGGATTTGTAATTAATGAAACGTTGCCTGAACTGATGTTAGAGCTAGGATGGCATAAATTAAACCACTGAGTGATTATTGTAAACGAACTGATAAAATATACTACGAATTTAATAATTCATGTATATGGATATATAGTTTCTTCTTAAGTCAGCTTTATTTGCATCGAAACATACTTTAAAATGTTTAAAAGGATAGGGAAGCAAAGATTTGACAATGTTCTTCCTACCTCCCATTCCTTAGAAGCAGTTTCATTAGTGGAATCCTCACTAACTTCAGGCTCTTCATTCTTCTTTACCACTATAAACCCAGGCTCTCTAATGGATTCTCCAGTATCCTCCGAGTAGATTTCTGGGCTCCACTGAACAAAGAAGGCATACAAGTGATCTGTCCTGAAGGAGGGGGGGAAAATAAAATTAGGCGGGTGGCAATATGTCAAGATACCTTTTTTCCTGCTTTACAGCTGTATTAAATTAGAAAAGTCATCATAATTAATATATACTCTTTCCAATGTGGTGCCTGATGTTAAAAGTGGATAAAAAGGCTTTACTTGGCAAGCTTACTTGTGATTTGCACCCATTAGCACAATACATTAATGTCCGAAATTAGGAGTTTTTCACATGGAGATTAAGCCAAAATCTGAATAGACAGGCTTGCACCTGCATTTCCTCATTGTCTCCCTCAGGTACTAATGCAGAAAACAGCAAATAGCGTTCTGGTTTCTGTAGGTCCCAAAGGCAGAAAGTTGGATATGGTTCCACTGTTTGGGACAGCGGGATGCCAAAGGATGCCACAGAAAATTGTTACCAGTCCCTAAGTGTTATGAAATTCTGAGAATTCTTAGTGCATGGGAGATTTATGGGAATGGCAGAGTGGAGCTGCTACAACTGGGTTTGGCAAACTATGGCTCATGGACTGGATCTAGTCCATGGACTTGGGGCTCAGCAGTGGGCTCCCGTCTTTGGCTGCAGGCACTCTACACATGCTTTTATGGGGACAGGCAAGCAGTGGCCGGGTCCTAGTGCCTACCTTCCTCTTATCCAGGATGGATCATTTCAGCCCACAGCTGGAAAAGGGTACCTACCCATGCTACAATATTTGTTCACCATGGACGTGATAGTTTTATTACCTTTGGGAGTGGGACTCAGAATCTTTCCTTCCCTTTTTCAAGGGCTTCCCTTGTGGTAGACTTGGGTATTTTGGAATAACACTAAGGACAAGATTTGGCTCAGAGATGAAAGAAGAGAACACATGTGCTATCTTGCCTGAACTGTCATTTAGAGATTAGTCAGAGATCACATCTAATTGCCTAGGAAAAAGTTCTTAGAGGGCTCTATTGGAGTCTTTTCTATACACGTTTCTAAAGATAAAAATAGCACATGAAAAGTGTTTGTCTGAAAGTTGATGTTAATTTTATGAACTTTAATGATTAAAAAAAAAAGATAATGGATATTAAAACGATGTATTGGGAAAGAAGAGGAGGAGGATGGGCTTTATAGCAAAAGGGGCTGAGGCAGAATATGTTACAAATAAAAACATTTTAAAACAAAACTGGCCTGTAACTTATAATCAAGAGTCTTAACCCCCACCCCCCCCCCAAAAAAAAACAAAACAAAAACTAGCTGAGGCATTCTCTTGGTCCTTATTGTTAATTTTTCACGAACACTGGAAACGCAAAAAAAAATTCAGGAATAGAACACTATCAACATAATTCCAATTTTATTATAAAGTTGATGCGACATGTCATATGTTCTCACATACAATATACCCCAGAACATAATGCACATCTTTTCTTTGAAAGGCAAACTGAAGAAAGAGATTTTTCCAGAGTTATGATAGCACAGAACAGGGATAGAACTTAATTTTCAGATGACTCATCCTCCTTTTTCAGCTTAAAGACAAAACCCCAGCTGCTGCTCAGAAGACTGTTTCCATGTGTAGATATATGATTTTGAAAAGAGCTAGAGAAATCCAGAGACCAGAGAGTAGGAGCAGCTAGCAAAACTGCCCCAAGGACAGGATGATCATATGTCCTGATCCAGCTGAGAGAGTCCCATATTCTGGATGCTGGTCTTGGGCAGCTGGTATGAATTAAAATGAGCATCCCAGAAAGGCAGGGGTGCAAAATGCAGTCTGGCAGGGAAGCAGAGCAGTGTGGAGTGCCAGACAGGTGGGTGGGCCTGGCACACCATGCTACCCCTCTCCCGCCTCTGCCTGCAGCAGTGCTGCTGACATGGGAAAGTGGGTTGTGGGAGGGGGAGAGGGAGGCAGCAGCATCTCAGATGTCCTTATGGTCAGCCTATCTAAGGAAGAGTAGGTTGATTAGCCACACATCAAGGCCATTCAAAAGGAGAGACAAATGTTAACACCTGTGGAGTGACTCCATCAGCCAACTCCCTGAATAATAATGCTACAGTTGCTGAAGGGTGTTTCTATCCCAGGCAGAAAATCAGCTTTGCTATTTAATATGCACAACCAAATTTGGGTGCGCTCAGTTCAAGGGGGGAAAAAAAGCATGCGTTGTATGTGAGAAAATACAGCATTCTGATTTTTTTTCCAAGGCATATGATTTAGTATTACATGACATTTTGATAAAAAAAACATGCAGTCTGAGGAATTAACAGAACACATTACATATCAAAATGTAGTTAATTGGGAAAGACTTCAAAAGTGGGACTACCACTAGTGGTCCTCCTTAGGGACTGGCTGTTGGTCCATTATAACTGTTACTGATGACTGTGAAACTCAAGCTGAGTTAGGCCTACACACAGAAGATAAAATATAAAATATTGATGACAATTGCATACTGCAAAAGGATGGAGGTTTGAGACTGGACCTTCTGAAAAGAAATAAGCGGGCATCACTTCCAACTTATCTTACTGAATTTATGAAGATTTTTAAGCAAGCTCCTATTTGTTTGGTATGTAACTCTATGAAATGTCTATCTTTATTCAATTAGTATAATAAATATTTATTTACCATTAACTCGTGTTTATGTGTAGGAAGAGACATTCTCCATATAGGCTTCAATAAGTGTCTCCTCCTGATTCTGTCTCATTTTGCATTAGTGGTTCCCATGATCTTCCAAGGACAACTCCTCAAAAACCTTACATTTTCCTGGTTGTTAATCAATTACTTGATATATTCCAACTCTCTCTCCTTGTTTCTCTTTTTTGTTTCTCTTCTCTTTTTCCTCTTTCTAGCTTGTTCTCGCTCT